CACACACACACACACACACACACACACAGGCGCGCGCGTGTGCCAGGGAGATGATGCCATGAAGACGGCCATGGTGATGGTTACGAGGTCGACAATCGAGGAGGAGGAGAGGGAGGGTTGACGAGGAGAAAGTTGGAGGAGGGAGGAACGAAGGAAGAGGAGGGAAGAGAGGGAGGACAAGGACTATGACGATGGGGGACGATGATAGAGGATGGAGGCGGGAGGAAGAGGAAGAAGGGCGATGAGCATGGATGGAGGAGGAGGGAGGAGGGCGATGTGCATGGACACACACACACACGCGCACACTCACCTTTGCATAGCAGGTGTATGCACTCCAACGAAGCTTCCCCGACGCGGTGAACTCGAAGACTGACTGCTGCACCATTTTTCCGTGGTGGCGCGTGAAATACCTACCATTTTTGAGTTGGAATTCCTGCCGCCACTGCTGCAAGGGCATCACAGAAAGATGTGTGCCCCTCGTGAGGGCATTTCAAGGACGGACCGACGAAACGCCACCAGCGGTCCAGTAAGGGCATATCGGAAAGGGACGACCCACGCTAACGGGGGCCTGTGGAATATTTCACAGGCCCGAGGGGCACAACAGGGTAAGGCGGCCTTCACAGGGGCATGCCGCACATAAATGCAAACTTCAGGGGCATTTCGACAATTTTGCCTCTTCTATTTGCTATCTTTTATGTGTTGCTCTTGGGCTTCTTAGGAAGCCATTCCATTTTATATATCTGATGGTTTTGTTAGACACTCCTAAAACAGGCTAAGGGTCAGATCCCACTACCCTGGATTATTCATTTTTGACCCTCGATTACGCAGATCAACGGTCAGAAATGAGCAATAGGGGCTAGTGGGATCTGGCCCTAAAAGAATCCTAAAAAAATTAGGACGAGTCCTAGAAGATTTTTAGGACTCGCTGCGTGCTGGGTAGATTAGAACCATTTCTCTATTTATTTATGCGTGTCACCCTTGCACAGGGGCCATGCTAGGTGCTAGGGATAGGGAATATACAGAGGTGGAAGGGAGGGGTGTCGTGAAGGGGTGAGCCAGAGAGCCTGGAAAAGAAAAACCGAGAGCCTAAGTTAGGTATACCCCGGTAATAATTTTTCCCGGCGGTAATTTTTCCCAGAAGTAAATTTTTCCAAAGGGAAAAGCGCAAGAAAAAGGAAGCTGTTGAGAGAGCCCTAAGAAGAGAGAGAAACAAGAGCTTACTCGCAGTTTGGGCTCTTGTACGTGTATGTTGTGACCACGACTACGACCTGAGACGGATGCATCTGACCGTCTATATGTCCAGGTTCAGTCAGTCGTTTCCAACTACGCCCAGCAGTGCGAGTGCGCCCCAACTCCTGACCCATATGTTGGGTGGTAAGGATTTTTGGGCTGTCATGGGGCCTCGCTGCACTACTCTCGACATGCACAACATACAATAATCATGGCGGTGTATCTTTCCATATTCTAGCGGAAGATTCGCTCTCGTTTTGCACATTTCGAGAGTAGTGCACAACTACGCCCATCAGTGCGAGTACGCCCCAACTCCTGACCCATATGTTGGGTGGTAACGATTTTTGGGCTGTCATGGGGCCTCGCTGCACTACTCTCGACATGCACAACAGACAATAATCATGGCGGTGTATCTTTCCATATTCTAGCGGAAGATTCACTCTCGTTTTGCACATTTCGAGAGTAGTGCAGCGAGGCACATGGAGGAGGCAGATGGAAAAAGGGAGCGCTCGATGCGCGAGAGAGAGCGAGAGAGCGCGCGGGAGGGAGGGACAGCGACATGATGGTTCACCCAATAAGAGGAGAGAGAGAAAGAGAGTAAGAATGAGCTGAGAGAGAGAGAGAGAGAGAGATTCCCAAATAGTGGGTGTGGGGGGAAGTGGTGGGCGGGGGGGGGTGGAGGAGAGGGACGGGTGGTGATATTGCGCGGTTGGGATCCCAGCAAATGGCTGTTAGCGTCGCTGCCCGCGACGCTTGAGCACGCAGACCCGGGAGCAGCGATAGAGGGAGACAGCGCCTACTACCACCTCCTCCTCCCTCCTCCTCCTCCCTCTTCTCTCCTCCCTCCTCCTCCCGTCCCTCCTCGATAATGCCATGAGTACCTCTTCCCGACGAGACAGGCTGGGTAGGGGAGCGGCAGGCGCTCACCCTTTATTTCCCGACGGCCAGCGAGTGGGTAACAGAAGGTAGAGTGAGAGGAAGAGGGGGGGGAAGGTGGACGGCAGCGAAGGGGAGTGGAGAGGAGTGGAGGGGAAGAGAAGGGAAGATAGAGCGCTTGAGATTCCAAGCAGCAAGAAAGGCATAGGTAGACCATCAGGTCCCAATTCGTCAGCACACACACACAGACACAGACACACAGAGAGAGAGAGAGAGAGAGAGAGAGAGAGAGAGAGAGAGAGAGAGAGAGAGAGAGAGAGAGAGAGAATGTGAGTGTGTGTGGGTCCGCGCGGACACATGCACACATACACGTACAAACACAAAGAGAGAGAGAGAGAGAGAGAGAGAGAGAGAGAGAGAGAGAGAGAGAGTCGATAGCAATAGAAGAGTCATGTGATCTCTCGGGTAATGCGAAAGAACAACAGCGCACTCGCTGTGCGCTGAGTGGTTGCTTGCTATCAGGGCCTGTTTCTCTCCGTCGCCCTCTTCCTCTCTTCCTCTCTCTCTCTCTCTCTCTCTCTCTCTCTCTCGGTCTCTCGGTCTCTATCTTTTTGTCTTTCTGAATGTTTCGTTGACCATCCGGATTGGAACGTTCTACTTCCAATTTCTCTTCTGCCTATATATGCCTCCTCACACACTCTCTCCCTCTCTCTCACGTATGCACGGGATATCCTTTGCCTCTGCTCGTTCTGTCTCTCTCTTTCTCTCGCGCGCGATATATACCGATGTTGGTGATGAGCACGCCGTTTTATTGGCATAGTGCGCTCGATCTGATCTCCTGTGTTCCCGTTCCAATGAGCCATTGTTATTTGCATTTGAAGAGATAGCGTAGTCTAGTCGTACTGGAGCACTTCCACCGAGAGAGAGAGAGAGAGAGAGAGAGACTCGTCTGACTTGTTGACAAACGCACTGCAATCAGACCGATCTGGCTGGTCTTCTGTGTTGTGTGCGTGTTAGAGAGAGAGAGAGAGAGAGAGAGAGAGAGAGAGAGAGAGAGAGCATGCGGTTTGTTAGATCGGGGTGATTGAGATCAGTTGAAGTGGGATGGGATGCCACCCGCGGAAGAGGAGAGAGGGCTGATCTTCGCAATTGATGGTAGTTGAAAAGGTGGTGGTGAGTTGTGTGGAGAGAGAGAGAGAGAGAGAGAGAGAGAGAGAACAGCGGACAAGAACGACAGGACGCGTGGTGTCTGTTTGCCACCTGCCATCGCCTCGTTGTTGCGGTTCCCTCCATACTCATTCCTCCTCCCTTCTCCTTCTCTCTCCTCCCTTCTCCTCCTCTCTCCTCCCTTCTCCTCCTCTCTCCTCGTCCTTGTCGTGGTCCGAATTCGCTGTCGTACTCCCCAGTCTGTCTGTTCTGCAGTGGGAACGACTTCTTGTTGTTTTCTATTGCCTCCTCTCTCTCTCTCTCTCTCTCTCTCTCTCTCTCTCTCTCTCTCTCTCTCTCTCTCTCTCTCTTTTCCGAGGGCAGTGGGAAGGAACTTTCCGCGATAGTTCCACCCCCACCCCCACCCCCCCTCTCCCACCGTCTCACTATAGTAATTCAATCCATCTCCTGCTCCGTAGTTAAGTAATCTCCGAACGAACTTTCCTTGAAGTTTCCTTGAACTTTCCTCCGCGATCGTTGCACCCCCGTCATCAGCATTAGCGCGCTCCTGCTAGCAAGTATCGTCCGTCGGCGTTCTATATGGAAGTACGTTGTGGGGTGAGAGATCTTTCGCCGAAGTTTCCCCGATCCTTCGTGGAAAGTGTCAGCGGATTGCTAATTAGCTGATATATCGAATGGCTTCTATCATCCTCGGAGAGCGAAGATCGAACGTATATGTGTATATACATCTGAATCTAGTCGTGATTCCACACCTACTGTAATCAGAGTCGGTCTGTACAGCAAACCAGACGCCGCAGCGAGAGGGCGGGGGCGGGTGCAACACGTCGATTTAGATTCAGTATAAAGGGGAAATAAATATAACGATATATATATATAGTAAATCAGTAATGAATAAATGAAGAGTAGGAAATGAATGAACATACATCGTACCTAGTCGTGATTCTACGCGTACTGTCAGACACAACGCACAAGCACATAACGAAAGGAACGCTGGCCTGGGATCGGGACACGTGACGTCGCAGCGGGGGGACTTGTCGTGGAGGAGAAGATAGGGAAGAGATAAGGAGGGCGGGCGGTGAAGAGACAGAGAATGGCAGAGAGAGGATATGGCATAGAGAGGAAGGTGGTGGGTGGGATTCTCTCTCTCAAGATCGGTGGTGGAATGTAGCTGAGCTTCATTGATTAAGCAGTACCTTAATTGCTGACCCTGACCTGACACAGCGAAAGAGAGAGAGAGATGATTAATTAATGCCTTCATTGCTGAGCTGGCCGAAGGCGAAAGGTGAGGATTACTTAATTGCTGAGCTGGCAGAATAAGGAAGGCGTGCTCTGGCTCTGTGTGTGTGTGTGTGTGTGTGTGTGTGTGTGTGTGTGAGAGAGAGAGAGAGAGAGAGAGAGAGAGAGAGAGAGAGAGAGAGAGGATGTCGAGTACATGCATGTTTGTGAGCTCTGTAATGGATGTGGAGTATTCGTGTCGATCGATGGATGTGGACTTCTATTTTAGGAATTGGGAGAAGAAGAGTGCAACAGCAGAATGCCGTGAGCGCGGAGTAATTAGGAGAGGAGGGAGGAGAGGGGAGGAGAAAGGGAGAGAGGAGGTGGTTGAATTCCCCATTCCTGATGCCTGTCAATATGATGATGGAGACGATGCTTCTCTTGGTGATGAACATGCCAGCGATGTCGGCATGACTGCTGGGCGTCGTCATCCTCCTCCTTCGCCTCCTCCTCCTCCTCATGATGATGATCATCATGGTGTTCTCTTCGGGAACGACAAAGATCTTGATGATGAACAAGACGGCGATGGTGATGGCGATGGCGGCCTCTACTTTTACGACGAAGATCTGACAGTCGAAGAGGAGGAGGAGGAGGAGGAGGAGGAGGACGGGCGGGAGGATGGCGCTGCTGACGACATGGATTGCTTTCACGTTGACGATGAATCTGTCTGCGATTACAGCGATGATTCCTGTTTTGTCGGATACGTGGACGATGAAGACGACGGCGCCGGCGGTGGCGATGGCGGCGTAGTAGTAGGAGCAGCAGCAGAAAGAAGAGAAGATGATCCCGATCCCGACGCCGCTGTGACTGCCACTCCCCGCGATCCTGATCCCTGTCATCGCCTCCGCCATCGCCGGCGAGCTTCATCCGCCGCCTGCGATCTCGATCGCGATCGCGATCGCGATGGCCATCTGCACCTCCACGCAGCGAAGCGCGCCAACGATGTCGAGACCGTTGACGTCACTGGCGATGGCGACCGGGATCCCACTCTCGATGATGACGATGATGATGATGATGATGATGAGGATGATGATGATGATGATGATGATGATGACGAGGAGGAGGAGGAGGAGAGGAATAGCTCCTCGGCTTTCTGTTTCCCTGATGAGGTGGTTCCGCTCGTCCTTCCCTATATTGAGGACGCGGGAGATCGTGCCCGCTGTATGGTGGTCTGCAAGCTCTGGGCGCTGCATGCGCGCAACGGTGAGTCGTTGCGCTTTACGGAGGATCACTTCAGCTTATGCTGTCGAGGAGGAGGACGGGGAGGAGGAGGAGGAGGAGGAGGAGGAGGAGGGGGAGGAGGAGGGAGCGCGGAGCAGTACGAGATGGCCATGGTGAAGCAGGCGGAGTGGCTGAAACGTTTATGGCTGACCGTAAGTTCAGAGAGCGCGCTGAAGAGTGTGTGCGAGACGGCGACCCATCTGGAGGAACTACACATTAGCGACTACCATGACGAAGGACCGGTCGTTGGGAGCGGTAGCTGCGGTAGCAGCGGTAGCATCAGCAGCAGCAGCAGCAGCAGCAGCATCAGCAGCAGCGGTAGTGGTGGTGGTAGTAATAGTGTTAATGGAGGTTCCAATCCGCCGCCATTGATGCTAGGACCGGTCCTTGAGCGAGCGACCAATCTCCGGTCGTTGTCGATCGACCTGCTGGACGACCATCGCGTGATCTCCGTTCCTTTTTTGGACATTTCGACGACCACCACCACAGCCACCTCCCTCTTCTCCTCCTCCTCCTCCTCCTTATCCCTCCACCCTCCCTCCTCCTTCTCCATTTCCCCTCTTTCAATGCGTCAGCCTCTTTTTCCTCATCCTTCCCACCCCGACCGCGACCTCCACTCCCACCCTCCCCTCCCTCCCCCTCCTCCTCACCTCCCTCCCCATCAGCTCAACCACCTCTCCTCTCTGCGCATCTTCCAAGGTCGAATCTCCACCTGCGACCTCCAACGTCTTCTCTCCGCATGCCCCTCCCTTCAACGGCTCTCCCTCAGCCATATCCAGAACCTCTTCGACCTTTCCCTCTCCAGTTTTTCGTTGACGGAGCTCCGAATCGATCGATGCGAGAACCTCTCCGCTCTTCATCTGAACGCCCCCTCTCTCTCGACCATCCAGCTGGCTGCCACGTGTCTTCGCAGTGTCTCTCTTGTCGGCAATTCCCTGACCACTCTCACCGTATCCTCCGCCGCGTGCGTCGTCTTCTCCATCAAGTTTCCCGCCAAATTGAGGACGGTCAGCATCGCTGGCCCGGCGAGCAAGTGGGACGAGTGCGTGAAGCTCCTCTCGCGCACACCCAATCTGAAGTGCTTGATCTTGCGCGCGCAAGATGGAGCTGGGGGGGGTGGAGGTGGTGGGCGAAACTTCACCGAAGCTTCGTCGGTGATGAGCATTGCGACCGCGGGAGGAGCGGGTGGTGGTGGTGGTGGTGTTGGCAATCCCAATCCCAATCCCAATCCCAATCTCAATCCCAATCTCAATCTCAATCGCAATCCCAATCCCCATCCCAATCCCAATCTCAATCACAATCTTAATGCCAACAACAGCTACCTGAACCAGAATCAGGGTCTCCACAACGACAATCACCTTGTCTACAACAATGGCAGCAATTATCTGAACAATCAGCAGAATAATCAGCTGCAGAACAACAGCAATTATTATAGGAGTGTATGGAGCAGTGGGTCGGGATCGGGAGGGAGCAGTAGCAGCAGCAGCGGCAGTAGTAGTAGCAGCATGATGAGTGCGAGCATAAGAAGCAATGTTGGGTCGGGATCAGGTGGTGGGAGCAACAGTCGGAGCAATCTTAGAGGAGGGGGAGGAGGAGGGGGAGGGGGAGGGGGAGGGAGAGAAGCCGTCAATATGAATATGGAAGGACTGCAGAGGCTATGTCCGAAGTTGGAAATCTTGGAATTGGATTGCTGGACGTTGATTAGGATTATGGAGGCGACGAACGGGATCCCGTGCTTTGACAGTCTGGAGCTGGTGACAATCGACGCGCGGGGGAGCACGGCGTGGGGGAGTGGGTTGGGATCGGGAGCGGGGACGAGCATCAAGGAGGCGTTGGCGGGACTCTGCTGGAGTTGCAGAGCCTTGAAGAGAGCCACGCTTGTGAACAAAGGGATGGGAGAGTTGTCCTCTCTCTCTCCCAATACTCCTATCATGCTGCTGCAGCACCAGTTTCCCTGGGTGGAGTTTCGCTTCTTGTACCGCGCAAGGGACGGCACCAGCTTCGACGACATGCTTCAACCGCGCACGTGAAGAGCATGCGAAGGAGGAGCGGACGGCGACTCGTCGTCTTTCGACATGGTGAGTGAGTAATGGTGATGGTGCGGTGTTTTTTTTACGTCGTCAACAATGTGTGTGTGTGTGTGTGTGTGAGAGAGAGAGAGAGAGATGAGGGTTAATCTCACATTCATTCATGTTTGTCTCATTTCGCTCAGAGAGAGAGAGAGAGAGAGAGAGAGAGAGATGAGGGTTAATCTCACATTCATTCATGTTTGTCTCATTTCGCTCGGTCATGTGTGTGTGTTTGTGTGTGTGTGTGTGTGTGTGTGTGTGTGTGAGTGAGAGAGAGAGAGAGAGAGAGAGAGAGAGAATCTCACATTCATTCATGTTTGTCTCATTTCGCTCGTTCATGTTTCTCTATAAGTGCATATTGATTGCGTGCGTAACCCGTCCCCACTCCTCGCTCCTCTTCCTCCTCCTCCCCCTCCTCTCTGCTCTCTTGCGCTTTTCCGATCTCCTTCTCTCGCAGAATGTTCAGCCTCCTACTCTCTTCTCCTCCTCCTCCTCCTCCTC